CCTAGAGCCAGTGGGCTTCCGTAGGGTCCCAGGGCTGCCTTCCGCCTGACGGTTCCGTCCCTGCCCCACGCCCACAGCCCGAGGAGCTGACCAACGTCCTGGAGATCTGCAACGTGGTCTTCACCAGCATGTTCGCCCTGGAGATGCTCCTGAAGCTGGCCGCCTTCGGGCTCTTCGATTACCTGCGCAACCCCTACAACATCTTCGACAGCATCATCGTCATCATCAGGTGCCCCGCCCGCCCGCTCCTCCCCAGGCCGTGGGCCCGGAGGCACAGGAGGGAAGAGGGGGTTGGCCCAGCCTGTAAATGAAGTGCCTACGATCAAAGGAACCCAATCACACTGCAGTACAGTTGACAAAAATGTTTAAAAATGTGTGATTTAGCCATATACGTGCTTCTGGGTTAAAGCATTGAATGGTGAGGTCTAGCAGCGGGTCTGTGACTACCATCATCCCAGAGGAGGGAGGAGCATAAACTCTGCTCGAAAATATCCTCATCAACCGTCGTGTGATGTAAAAACAGCGATTTCCATGAACCGCGAGGCCATGGGCGCTGCTAATTCTCTGTATTTTGTTGTTTCCATTCATACTCAAAAGAAAGTTAAATCTCAAAAAGAGCTCAGTGACCATGTGGACCCCTGAATTCTGTCCCTAGACATCTTGGGGGGGGTCCATGGAGTCCAGGTTAACAGCCCCCAACTTAGGGTGCCTGGAGCAGCAATGACCTTGAAATACTGTTGGTTGGATGAATGAATGCATGAACGAATGAATGAAACTCCATCTCTTCCTTTGCCCTGCTCTCCTCCTGCCTCTCTCCCCTCCCCACCCCTGCGTGACGCCTCCCTGTGCAGCATCTGGGAGATCGTGGGGCAGGCGGACGGCGGGCTGTCAGTGCTGCGGACCTTCCGGCTGCTGCGGGTGCTGAAGCTGGTGCGCTTCATGCCCGCGCTGCGACGCCAGCTGGTGGTGCTCATGAAGACCATGGACAACGTGGCCACCTTCTGCATGCTGCTCATGCTCTTCATCTTCATCTTCAGGTGAGCCCTGCCACCCCGGGGCCCACCCCTGCCGGGGCCCAGGTAGGAGCATGGCTGGTTGGGTGCTCCGGCCACACCCTGGACCTGGGTGGGAATCCTGCCACCATCACTTAATCCCTGGTGGCTCTGGGCGTGTACTTCCCCTTTGGGTCTCAGTGTTCACTTCTGTAAAATGGGACCAGCGTGGCTCCCTCCCATCTTGCGGGGTTGTTTAGGGAATGGCACAGGCGGATGGGCAAGAGCTTGGTGTGTGTGAGGAGTCCCTTGAGCCACCTCCCTCCCCCCCCAGCATTCTCGGGATGCACATCTTTGGCTGCAAATTCAGCCTCCGCACAGACACGGGAGATACAATCCCCGACAGGAAGAACTTCGACTCCCTGCTCTGGGCCATCGTCACGGTGTTCCAGGTGAGCACACGTCCGTATGTGCCGGGGCCGCGGTTTCAGGCAGGGTCGCTTTTTGCTGGTGCCTCCAGCCTCGGGGAATCCAGAGAAAAGGGGCCTGACAGGGCGGCCCCTCAACTCCGCCTTAGTGGGCCGGTTTGGGGGGTGTGACCTGGCAGGCTTAGGACAGGCTCTGGGAGCCGGGCTGCCGCCCAGTGCCCCTCCCTGCCCCCTCCGCTCGCACCCTGAGACTGTGGGCACGTTAGGAGTCTTCCCTAAGACCATTCCTCCCCGGTAACGTGGACATGGCTGAATGAGTGTGCACACACAGCTC